GGGGGGGAAGGGCGGACCCTTCCCCACCAATCACTCACTCAATCAATCAATCAATCAATCAATCAATCAATCAATCAAAAAAAAAGAAAAAGTAAAAAAAAACAGAGCGGGTTAGACCCCCGCGCGCGTGTGTGTGTGCGCTCAGGGGGGAAGGGCGACCCCTTCCCCACCAATCAATCAATCAATCAATCAATCAATCAATCAATCAATCAATCAACCAATCAATCAATCAACCAAATAATCAATCAATCAATCAATCAATCAATCAATCAATCATTCAATCAATCAATCAATCAATAAAATAAATTCAACCAATCAACCAATCAATCAACCAACCAACCAATCAATCAATAATAATAATAAAAACAACAACAACAACAACAAGGGCCTTTTCAACAGATAGAATAAATGAAAAGTAAAAAAACAGAAAAGGGGAGGTCCACAATTTTTGTCTCCCCCCTCTAAAGACCCCCTATTTGGACCGCCCCCTTTTTAAAATTTTAAAATTTTTTCCTTCATGGGGAGGTGGGGCCCGGGCCCCGCCCACGGAATCCCGACTCCGATTGTCAGTACCCCCCTCCCCTCGGCCGCTGCGGGCTGATTTCGGCCGCGGCCGGGGCGGTCATGACCACGGCCCCGCGGCCCCAACTGCGGGCCGCGGCCATGACCGCCAGACCACAGCCGCAGGGCATACATAGCTCAAAGCAGAAGTGCGGAAGTAACACGCCAAATGATCATTCACAGGCATTAGTCAGCAAGAACGTCAAGAGCACAAGGAGCAAAACACTATAATGATTATAATGTTAATATGAATTTTGGTCAGCTAAAGGAATGATAGCAGAGCAACGAGGGACTCCTTAGTAGATTCATGCAATGACCAATTAATAATAGCCTAAGACCAATTATTAGGAACAGGCTGAAGAGTAATTAAGTCAACGTGCATATGTGGATATAACGGGAAGCACAAGAAGGCATGAACCGCAAAAGCCGAGGCTATGGCGTGGCTGCGGCGGCGGCATCATCTCTGCTCACAAACGTCCTTCCTCCCTGAAGGGGCAAATCAAAAGTGCATGAGAAACACCCCATTGCAAGGGCATTCTTCTTTACCAGCTGAAGCAATCTGAGCGGCAGAAGGATTAAGTATCGTGCATGAAGACAACCGGGTGCTGGTCCTACTTGCCAGCCCATGCTGCCTACTCACATCACTTGTTTCAAAAAGTATAGGAGCGCCCTTCCGCTATGAATCCCCCTGGGTCGCGGTCGTCATGGCCGCAACCTCGTGGTCATGCCCGCGGCCGCAGCGACTTTCACGGCCGCGTGGCGACTAGAGGAGGGGGGGGGTTGGGGGTGGGGGTTGCGGATTGTGGTTCCTGAACCCCGACCTTACCCCTTAGAGAAAAGAAAAGTACAAAAAAACGATTTTCAGGGGGGGGGGGGGGGGGGGGGGGGGGGGGGGGGGGAAAAAAAACAATTTTCAAAAAAAAAGTACAAAAAAATTTTGATTGATTGATTTTGTGTGTCTGAATGATTGATTGATTGATTGATTGCTTGACTGGTTGATTGATTGATTCATTAATTGATTGGTGGGGGAGGGGTTTGCCCCCCCCCGGGCACACACACACACACACACAAGTACTTTTGTGTGTGCCCAACTGAGCACCCTTTAGTAGTGCCAAACAGTAGGTGGTTCCTCGTTTGGAGTCCCTCTTGCACTCTTAGGGAGGCCGCTCTGTTCGGGATGTCTGTGTTGCCTGTGGGTCATGTTGGATGCTCGTCGGAGTGACTCCCTGGCTCAGTGGGTGGTGGGAACCAACAGTCTGCTGTTTTCAATCGTGGTGTGAGTAGGTCACATGCCGCTTTGCTCCGTGTTGGATGTGTGGACTGCCTCGTCTGCGCTCCAGTGCTGCCTTGCTGCCTGTCCCGCTTGCTTCGCATGTGGTTCTCTGCAAATTGCTGTGTTTTCTGTGTGGTGTGGTCGCGTTGCTGGTGTTGCCTTGTGCTTCGCTGCTCCGCTGCCTAGCCTCTCATCCACTGGCAGTGCCTTCGTTGTGCTTTGCTTGCGTGCTTTGCAGTTCGGTTGCCTTGTCGGTCTTGCCTTGTGCTTCACCGCATGGTTGCGCTGCTGCTCGTCCGCTTGCCCTGTCCCGCCTTGCACCGTGGTTGTCTCAGTGGTGTTGCCTTGTGCGTTACTCCGTAGTTGCCACGTTGTGTGTCCTGCTAAGCGTACCGAGTGGTTCCTCGCAGTCCTTTTTGGCATAATTGTGCAGTCGTGCTGCCTCTACTGTGTTCAGTGTGTTGCCTGGTGCTCCTCAGGGGTGCTGCCTGTGGCCTGCGGCCGGGATCCCGACCACCCACCCCGTGGTCATGACCGCAGTGAATACAATGTCATAGCCTTCCCCGACTACTAGGCGGGGATCCCGCCCCCCCCCCCCTCCTCCCTTCTCTTAAAAAGGTGGTGCCTTTTTCAAATAAATAAAAACTGCAAGAAGAAAAGAAATGAAAAGAAAAGAAGAGAAAAGACAAGAAAAAGGACAAAGCGGACGACCAATTAGCACACACTGTTAGAATAGGAATGCACCATAGCCAGTAAATGATTTTTTTTAACTGTTTTTTTAATTCTACACCCTGTCAGTAAATCAAAACCCTGTCCGTAAATGATCCAGAGGGCGAACTCTGTCCTTTAAAATCATTAGAAGAAACTGGTACTGGCAAGAGATTTCAGATAGTGAATCTCGGCCGAAAATCAACGAAGGGGGCGAAATACTGTTCACAAGCTGGACCAACTGCAAATAGAGAAATGATGCAGTGAACAGTATTTCATCCCCTAAGTTGATTTTCGGCCGAGATTCACTATCTGAAATCTCTTGCCAACACGGCTTGATTTTGTGAACAGCTTGTGAACAGCTTGCGAACAGCTTGTGAACAGCTTGTGAACAGCTTGTGAACAGCTTGTGAACAGCTAAATGAATCTCGGCCGAAAATCAACGTAGGGGGGGAAATACTGTTCACAAGCAGGACCAACTACAAAGAAAAGAGAGCTTGGGACCGCGATGTCCAATGATGTGAATTTCTTCTTACCAATGGGTCCTTCTTACCAATGATCCCCTCAAATTGGAAGGATAGAGAGAAAGAAGATTAACATGGCCCCTGGGCAAGGATGACTCCCATAAATAGAGAAATGATTCATTTTGGCTTGGGCAGTGGGCCCGGGCCCAAGTCCCTCTAGCAGCATTGAGTTTCCTAACTTTCCTCCACTCCCGAATCTGGACGTGTTTGTGGAGATGTGCTGTTGAGGAAAACTCAACTGCACATCTCCACAAACACGTCCAGATTCGGGCGTTGAGGAAACCCAATGCTTCCAGTGGGCTGTGCTGCCAAGCGAGACATCCGACGCCTACAACAACCCTGGGTTGGGCCCCCCTCGTAGATGTGATCCCAGCTAGATGGGGTCAGATCGCGTTGGGTACCCTTTTAGGAAAAAAATAAAAAAATCCAGTAGAGTCAGAAAAACGAGTTATGATAGCACTGTGGGCTATGAAACACCCGGCGCGGCCACTGTCACCGGGGGCACAATTGTGGCCTGCCGCGGGTGATACATAGACTGTGGGCAAGATAGAGTTTGCAATAATTGCACTTCGGGCACCCTACCTGGTCGGAAAGCTGGGTTGTATACATTGCCCAAACTGCAATTCTAAACTGTATCTTGGGATTCTTGGCCCATACTGCAGTTATAACTCACTTTTGTGACTCCCGCGTAGTCCCCCGCCCACGCAAAAAAGGAATCAATGATAGAAAGCCCTCACAGATGAAAAACAAGCCCACGGCAGAAAGGTGCTCTCCCAAGGACAGCAGGAATGCCAGGCAGGGAGTCCCCACACTGGGCCACACACACTACGGATTTCCTCTACGTATCTGACCATCTTTGATGACTACATTCAGCAGGAAAAGAGGTTTTTTTTGGTCATGTCAGTTGTAATCTTTCTTAGCAACGTCTAGCTAGCATGCAAATTTTATTTCAATTTACCAGTACTGCCTAAAGTCGTGCCCTTTAACAAGCCACGATTTTAGGAAACGGACGTACGGGGACTACTACAGGAGCGCCCAAATTCATCCATGCTTCTACTCTATTTTTTTCCCAATGCCAATAGCTGGGCCAAGTACTGGTGGTAAGAAAAACAAGAAACTACCAAAAAAAAAAAAAAAAAAAGAAAGAACACGAAACGCAAATTTGGATGGAATCAAATGCACTGGCCTCACTGCAATTAATATTTATTAAATTATTACCGTCAAATACGTATGCTTGTATCTGCTGCTGCGGATTGCTTAGCCTGTAGAACGCATCGTATGCCTTGTCCTCCAAGGCCCGATATTGTACGGACACAATGATGTTCACGAACACGTTGTCCTGGACACGCACATTCCAAGGGCGCAGCAAGCAACATCATAGGGGGGTCATAAAGTCAGCAGGGGGTCATAAACTTCGGGGGAAAAAAAAAAAAAAAAAAAAAA